CTTTTAGCAACAGATAAGAAGAAGGCAAAAAAAGAAGAAAAATACATGCTCCAAAAGTGCCCATCAGCTAAAGACAAACTTCACAGATAAATGCGGTTCCAACTGAACTTGATTATGGCCTATTCATCTCAGGCTACAGACTGTTGACACCCACTCTGCGTTGCTCAAGATGATAAACATCTTTGGTACTTGAAGATTGAATCCAAATGACAACTGAACTGTGTGTGGTCAACTCCCTATGGTATCAAACACTGAACAGGGAAAATCATTTTGTTTACAACTGTGCCCTCCTTCCACTGGCTGAATTTTACTGATAACATTATAGCTCCAAATCATAATGACAGAAAACATTCTTTTGATGTTTATTTATTAAGGGGAGTTCTCTGTTCATCCTATTATGGATTAACAGATACATTACTGCGCCCGAGCCCAAGAGTACAGGGTTGGATAGGCATTGAGTTTTGCAACACAGTACTTCCAAAGATAAACCTGCAGTGCAAAAGTGGTACTAAATATCCTAAGCTTGCATTATAATAATAATAATCCTTGCATTTGATATAGCGCTTTTCACGTCGGGAGGACGTCCCAAAGCGCTTCACAGAATACACTGTAAAGTGAATTGACTGTATATTTGTGGGCGAACGCGGCAACCAATTGCGCACAGCAATGTCCCACAAACAGTCGTAGATTCAAAATGACCAATTTATTATTGTTTTTGGTTTTGGAGGGATTATTATTAGGCTCTGTGTGGAGTAAGGAAACTTGCCCAAGGTTTCGCCCTCTGCCTGGAATTGAACTCAGGTCTCTCACTTGCAAAGCGAGTGCTCTAACCACTGAGCTACAGGACTCCACGCATTCACTCCTGGTTAGCATTCACTGTCTATTCCTGTTTGCAAATTGGTGCAAATGAAAATCATATTCATCTCCATCTCCCCCTTCCCTTACCTCCTTCGAGACCCGTCTCACGACCCTCCTCTTTGACCATGTCTTCAGTCACCCTCCTAACCCTACCTCCCCGCCCTTCAACCCTCCTGATCCCAACCACCAACTTGGGTGCGGATCCCTGACTGTCCAGGGTCTTGGGACCTTATACAAATGTAATTTGTTGTTGTTATTAAAACGAGTCCCAGGAGAGCTGTGCAACGTACAGAGTTCATCATTAATGACATTTTAAATGTTAAAAGCTGCCACTATCTGGTGAAGAAGTGGTCTGGTTAAAGACTTTTCCTATTCTCATATGATTAAGCCACGGAGAGTGAGTGGGTAAAGCGCTTTTTGTCAGATAGTGGCCTAATGTTAATCTTAGCAGTAAAACCTTCAATTTAAAATAACAGTGGTCATTAAAACACTGCCGTCTCGCTGGTATTTTTTTTCAGGCCCATTTAATTGCGCTAAATTCACATTCAAACCTTTTGCCGTGAAATTGAATGAGCCATGAAAAGTACATACATTAAATGCAAACTTATCTTTACTCTAATGGGATAGAGTGGAGGCTACGTGAAAGTATAGCGCCGCATAGCAAGAGTCTGGTTCTTTCCATGAAGTAAAGCAGGTGGCGTTGAATTAAATGAGTTTATAATATTAACAATAAAAATCTTTGCATTTGATGTAGCGCCTTATCGCATCGTTGGGACGTCTCAAACGCTTCATAGAATATATTGTAAAATGGATTTACTGTGTATTTGTGGACGAAACGCTGCAGCCAGTTGCACAGAGCAATTGACAAAAGATGTGGCTTCATTACGAATCTGAAAGGCATGCAGGGAGATACAGTCACTGCGCACTATACAGTATATCCTGTGAAGTGCGTTGAGATGTCCTAAAAGGTGCTATAGCAATATTGTTATATTTTCCTAAAGTCAGGAGGGTATTTAATATCAAACCTATTTTGCCCACCAAATAAAGTCAATTCACTTTGCGTGAATTAATAATAATTCACTTTATTATTATATTATCAAACGGTGACAGTAAAACTACACGTTTCAAGGAAACATTAATAACCTTGCTTTTTTTACCATTCCTAACTATCCCCTGTGATAAATAAGGGGCAGAATGAGTCTAGAGATACTGTAATTTTGTTCTCATCATTAAAATGAATACGCTGTACCGGAAATAGAAGTTTACTGAAATTACTTTACCCCAAAATTCCTAAATCACACATAGACAGATCAGCCAAAAAGATTGCTCACAAAGTGAGTGCTGCTGAAGACTGATACTCCAAGAGATAATTTAATGGATAATTCCTGTCCTGTCTGACTTTACTTTCTGTCAATGTTTTATTTCATATTGCCCTTTCCTTTTCTGATGGACTCATTTCTACAATTAGGAGTGAGAGACAGACTGTAACTTATGACTGATTAAAGTTGACAGAAAGGACAGAAAGATAAGATGGATGTTGAACCCTGGCCCATCCTTACATAATAATAATAATCCTTCCATTTGATATAGCACCTTATCATGCCTTCGAGACGTCTCATATAATATAATACATAGAGGGATACCACACGGAAACAGGGTATTCGGTCCAACAAGTCAGTGCGCTGATCATCTAACATCAACTTCAATGTTACTTCAATGCTTGCATGTTGGATGTTGTCATCCACTATCAGCTTGAATGTATTTTGGTGGAGGTAAAATAAAGTTATATTTGTCTTTTCCACCTGGTCTATTGAGAAGTGGATGAAGCTTGCTATTGCGCCTGGGGTATCACAAAACATAAAGTAAAATATGTCACTAGAAGGTTACAGATTATTATAGCTCCTTTGCTTGGACTGAAGTTGGTTTTGGCAGCCAGGAAAGAGGCCTGGGGCTGGGGGAGAAGACAGCAGATCACGTCAGAGAGAAGATTCGGTCATTTTCTGGTGATTTTTATCCCCTCTTATGTTATATGGAATTTTCACTTTCATCTGTACCTATACTCCTGCTTTCGTTCTACTGTGATTTGAGGTAAAACCACTTAATAATAAGAAGGATAATAATTCTTGCATTTGATATAATGCCTTATCGCATCGTTGAGACGTCTCAAAGCGCTTCACAGAATATATTCTAAAGTGAATTGACTGTATATTTTGTGGGCGAAACGCGGCAGCCAATTGCGCACAGCAGTGTCCCACAACCAGTCATTGATCGAGTGACCAAAATTAAAAATAAAATTTAAAGAGGGATTATTACCCTCGGAAAGCGATCTGCCAATCGACTAACAACCGGGTTCCTACTTACTGCTAAGTAAACAGAGGCGTGTGTGTGGAGTAATGAACACACTACAGGACTCCATTACGAAGGCTCCACTTTACTGCCCTATTGCCAAATATTTTTGGATTGGATAATAATAATAATAATAATAATAATTGGATGAGGAATTAGAAAAGAATTCATATTTATTTTTAAAAAATCACAATTTAAAAAGCAAAGCTCCCCTTAGAACTACCATGTTGAACACACAGCAAACTGAATATGTCTGTTAAATACTCCTGTTATGGCATTACTCCTATCTTTAAATGACTTTTTGGTCTGATTGTACAATGAAGATGGATTTCAAGATGCACATTCCTCATACTGTAGCCACATCCAATAAAACAGTTAATTTGGTAAGAAATAAAACTGTTACAGCGATGTGATTGAAGCTGAAGCTATTGGCTCGGAATTATTAACATCCATATATGGGTTTTAATTAAGGTCTGTTAAGCATCATCCCTTAAAATATATCATTAATTTGATGAATTAATATGAACTCTTCAAGATCAGCTCGTTCTGGCTCTCAGCTTTGCCTTGAAACCTATCTTACAAAATGAATAATAATTTATACAACTTGCTTTTCATTTAAAGATTTTAATTTCAATTTACTTCTAAGATATTGAGATGAAATAACTCACCAAATAGAGACTCAGGAACTGAGGTAGTGGATGGAATGATTACAAATCCAACAACAAAAAAAAAGTACAGACTGCTCATTCCCGTTTTAGTTCTACGGTAATTACTTTTCAGACTACAGACGCTACTGTTTCTTTGATGCGTATTATTTCCGTTAGGTGCCACGGGTTCAGGGAGAGTATCGAAGGCATTCAACTCAGAAGAAAATCACGCTTTAAGCAGCGGAAAACATGTTAAAATGCAGTTACGTGAAATCAAGTCTAAGGTGTTTAGAATGGTAATATGCATGCAGATTTACAAACCGTGTCTTTAGGGTGGCCCAATAGGAAGAAATATGGGGACCCCTGCTTGTCACTTTTCATGCACATGGAGACACTGGAAGGTACCATTCCTAAAGGAAGGGGAGGAACAGCCTAGGGCCAATCATTAGAATTAACAGAACCAGTGGCAAAGATACTGTTAGTACAGAGACATTTAGCAAGTAGTTTAGCACAGTAAGAGCGAAAAGTGGAAATATCTAGAACAGAGAAGATCTTATGCAAGCTACAACATATTAAGCGGCACGGAAAAGTTAATATATTAGTGAAAGACTATGTCGCTCATTTCGTTCAAGATTCTCGTTTTAATATTCTTAGCGATGGAGAAAAATGTTCTTAATCTTAAGGAATCAGAAATGGCAACCAGCTATCGGGTTATCGTTAATATTTTACGATGTTAGGATGAATAATTTATGGCTTCTGTTTCTTGCGCTAACACTTTGAAGAGCTGCTGTTTGGTTGCTGACAACCAAAACTGGTTATTAGGAATCGTTTAAGCCACGGCGACGGCTTGGTCTGTGGTTGGCCGCAACTTTATTTCCGTAGGTGCAAAGAGCAATTGAGTTTCGGCTCAACGTAAGTAAGCAGGACGCGGATTAAAGTTTCATACTAAAATCAAAGGGTAGAATTTCACCTGTATAAGTGCACTGCTGTGGGGCTAAATCTATTGCTTTTATTGGGGGGGGGCAGCTGGTTGCCAGGTGTAACACATTGCATCAATACCCAAAAATAATCGTTAAGCAGGTTATGGCTTTAATTTCTACTTTAAATTCAGCGATGTGACAATGTGCTCATCCAGAGCATGAAACCCACCATACTCAGGCACCTGGCCCGTGCCCCTTTTGAGGAGGAGACGCACTCGCCTCCCTCCGGATTTGATGAGCTCTATAGCCCTGGCGTGGGTCATTTCTCTGGTGTTTTCTCCGTTGATTTCAATAATTTGATCTCCCACCTGCGGAGAACAGGAATAAAATGACAACAGAGTTAGGAAGTAACATTTGAAGGGGGCTTAATACTGTACAGCTGACTAGGAACGACAACAAGTTACATTACCATAGCACCTTTCACGTCAAGAGAATGTTTGCTTCTTGTGTCTTGTCCTGAAATTGCCCTTTGCCAATCTAAACCTATGTCCTTTATTCTCCTGAATATCTGAAAGCACTGTTACCCTCATGTATTTTTCCTATGTCCTATTTACACCCATGTCCACAAAGCCCTGTTTACCCCATGTATTTTTCTTCACTGTATTCAGCGTTTTAACTGTATTTAGAGGTCCAGAGGATCAGTGTGAGTGAGCGCCATCATTTTCACGGCAGATAATGATCCGTTGCCATGTTCGACAGCTTGTTTCAGGTCCTCCGTAGTCTCATATCACTGTTTTATAACAGGGGGTTTAGAGGACTTTATGGAAACCCTGTATTGTTCTGGGTTTACTTTTTCAATCCCATTTACAATGTTATACACGTCCAATAAGGTCCTCTCTTCATCTTCCCTAAAGACTGAAAACAGGGCAAGGCAATGGGGGGGGGGAAATGAATGTGGGGGACAAGGATCTTGAGAAAGAGACGATCGTTTCAGGGGCTGAACCCCAGAGATTCAATGACAACCTATAGGCAGCCCTTCTCTTTGTGATAATGAAAGTCTGAAAACCTCTTGCTTTTGACTCCATAAATCAGTTCCTCTCTGTCTCTCTCAACAACAACAACAACAACAAGATTCCATTTATTGAGCGCCTTTCACGTCGGGAGGACGTCCCAAGGCGCTGTACAGTTGGGTCAGGACCCAAGCAGGAGGGAAATGGTCAGGGTGAGGGGAGGGAAGGGAGGGAGCGAGGAGGGGGTAGAGAGTCGAGAGGGGAGCTGAAGGCACGGTCAAAGAGTAAGGTCTTGAGACCGGCCTTGAAGGAGGAAAGGGAGGAGGCGGCGAAGGCACTGGGGGATAGAGTTCCAGAGCCTCGGGGCTGAGAGGCTGAAGGCCCGGCCACCGATGGTAGGGCGGTTGGGGCGGGGGATATGGAGCAGACCGGAGCCAGAGGAACGGAGGGGACGGGCAGGTAGGTAGGGGGATAGTAGGTCGGAGAGTTAGGAGGGAGCAAGGCCGTAGGTGAGGATCTTGAATTCGATCCTCTGGGGGATGGGGAGCCAGTGGAGGCGAGCGAGGGCGAGGGTGGGAGTGATGTGGTCCCGAAGCCTGGTGCGGGACAGTACACGAGCTGCAGAGTTCTGAATGACCTGCAGTGTGGAGGGAGGTGGCGGGAAGGCCGGCGAGGAGAGAGTTCCCATAGTCCAGCCTTGAGGTGATAAAGGCGTGGACCAGAGTTTCAGCAGCGTGAGGGGTGAGGTAGCTGTACCGGGCAGTATAGTTACCAGGGTTAGCGATGGGGAGCTTACGCAACACGCAGAGTATCTGCCAGAGAGTGAAGATAAACAGAGGACTCTATTTGATTCAGGCTCCGTGCTCAGCAGCATGCAGAGTGGATTCTGCTGAAACAGGTCTCATTATCTGTACTGTCAAGTTTGATTGCAGTGTGACTTGTGGCCTGGCTCCAGTGATGGACCGTGATGTATTTGGCTGCCTCCAGTACTTCACCACAAGTTGGTTAGGAAATAGGGGTTAGTGTCTACTGTGAAAGACAACAAAGTTGTGATTCTGAAAAGGACTTCTTTCCCGATACGAGCTGTGTGTCAGCCTGGTTCAGTTGGTAGCACTCTCACCTTGGAGCCAGAAGCTTGTGGGTTCAAGCCCCAGTCAGGCCTTGAGCTTACATAGCCTAAGCTGACACTCCATTGCATTGCTGGAGGTGCCATCCTTCGGATGAGATGTTTAAACCAAGATTTTGTTTCACTGTTCAGTTGGTCGGTAAAGATCCCACGACACTATTTGAAAAGAGAAGGTGTCCTGGCCAACAATCCTCCAAGTATGAGTTGATCATTCGTATCATAGTAGTTAAAAAATATCTTGGCAAGGCATGAATAAATAATTGCAAAGAGCCAGAGGAATGATGGATTACCATGGATCTAATACATGTCATTATATTAATCTAGGAACAGTACCTTGCACTTTCCCTTTCAAATTTTCATAAGTAGTTGATTGAGCCAGACAGATTAATAAACGCAAGCCCCTGATTTTCTTACTGGGTGAAGCCGCAATTTATTATGCCTGTCAACACGGAACCTTTGTTCTAGAAAGTTGCATCTAACAGCTGACAGTTTCTGATTTAATCAACATTAAATTAGCAATGGGTAAATCACTAAATTAAAGCCTGGATGATAATGTTGGTTGGGTACTAATTGAAAAGTAACCAAAAAAATACACTTCACAATAGCTTCCTAATGTGTGTCCGGACGTCTAAACAATCTACTATTTTTAGAGAAACTATTTCCTCTGGTGGGGGAATCCAGAACAAGGGGGCATAATCTTAAAATTACAGCTAGGCCATTTAGGAGTGAAATCAGGAGGCAGTTTTTCACCCAAAGGATAATGCAAATTTGGAACTCTCTCCCCCAAAATGCTGTGGATGCTGGATCCATTCACATTTTCAAGACGGAGATAGATAGATATTTGTTAGGTCAGGGTATTAGGGGATGTGGGACAAGGAAGGGTAATTGGACTTGAGGTACAGATCAGCCATGATGGTGGGACAGGCTCGAGGGGCTGAGTAGCCTACGTTTACTATGTTTACTGTGTTATCCATTTATATTTATTTCAATATAAAAATAAGTAAATATAAATTTACATATAAATTATATTTAAAAATAAATATATAACAAATAGTTACTATGTTTCTACTACTTTTGAGTTGTTTTGCTGTTTTATGATTCTTGATATGAAATCCTGTGAAGCCTCTGAGGCAACGTGATGATGTGCTGTATCAAAGGGAAGGATTATCATTATTATTATTATTATTATGGTTATCATTAGGGCTCAGCTGTAAGAAACTTTTGGACACCCCTGTTGCTATCGGCACTTACAGGACTTGATGCTGAGTCAAGTTCCCCCTTTGAGTTAATAACAGATTATAACACTCAGCTCAAGGTAACATCTTCCAACTCCAATTATGTGAACACGTGTGTTCAGTTTCTTGCACATGCTTGTGAACTCCAATGGAGATTGTTGTCACTTCAAGGCTAACTTCTGCCAAATTGAATTGTGGACAATTGGGTGCAGCAGACTTCTGGGGCCAACCAGAAAATGGATCAGGACTGAATAAACTCGACTTGGGAGAGAGGCTCAAACAGCAACAACAAATTACATTTGTATAGCGCCTTTCATGTTCAAGGCGCTGGACAGTCAGGGATTTGGATCCGAGCTGGGGGCTGGGATCAGGATGGGTGGAGGACAGGGAGGGTAGGGGTGGGAGGGTGACCGAAAGCGCGGTTGAAAGGGAGGTGTCTTGAGACGGGCCTTGAAGGAGGTAAGGAAAGAGTCCAAATCCTTGACTGTCCAACGGCTTGGAGTGTGCTGACGATGCAAAAGGCGCTATACAAATGTAATTTGTTGTTGCTATTTATAAACTGTTAAAATTACCACTGTATATCACCAGCTTGAAAGATGATAACCTGTCTGTATTAAATAGATTTGAAATGGCCCATTAAATGTTGGGTGTGGAAACTAAAGAGCAAGTGTCATAGTTGTGCATTACTCACAGAGCAAATTTTTCTCAAGATATTCTTTTTGTAACACATCAAGTTGAGGAATAACCAATCCTGGGGGAACAGATCATTTTTTTGCTTTGCACTCAGGTGCTCTGAGAAAAAGATACGTTTGTGTTCAAAATGCGTTTCGCCCACAAATTATACAGTCAATTCACTTTACAGTATATTCTGTGAAGTGCTTTAGACGTCTCAAAGACGAGATAAGACGCCATATCAAGCGAAAGGATTATTACTACTATTATTATATAAAAATCCACAGTAACGCCTCAAAAAACATTCTCCAACTGCAGTATTCAGAAAAGCATCCCTAGCGAAACAATATGATTTTAACAATATAATACTTGCATTTCATATAGTGCCTTATCACATTGTCGATACATCTCAAAGTGCTTCACAGGGGATATTACTGTAAACTGCAATGAATGTTTATTTGTGGACCAACTTGTAGGTGAATTTTAAGATCCCCTATAAGGAAATATCCAAGTTAGTGCCAATTTTATTCAAATTGAAGTCAGTTTCGTCTAGAAAATATACAATCACTATATTTTTACAGTGTATGCAGTATACAGTGAAAGGAGGTGGTCACTCACTCCGTGTGTTTGTGCGACACTGCTGTGTGCAAGTAGCTTCACTTGTTTAAATTTAAGTTAGTATCCAAGATGATATAGTATAACTAAGCAAGGACAATTTGAATTTATTGAATTTTAAATTCAATTGTTTCGCCCACAAAATAAACAGTCAATCCACTTTACAATTTACCCTGTGAAGCGCTTTGAGATATCTCAACGAAGTGATAAGGCGCTATATCAAACGGAAGGATTATTATGATTATTATTACGGTCTGATGCTGTGAATTAGGGTCCAACAATAACAACAAATTACACTTGAATAGAGCCCTTCACGTCAAAAAGAGTTCCCAGGGCGCTGGACAATCAGGGGTTTTGGACCCGAGCTGGGAGGTGGAAGGGTATTAGTTTAATTTAGCTCCTAACGCTGTTAGAGGGACATCTTTTACTCCACCTATCAGATCTGTCCTTCGGGCCGTTGAAGTGAATTGAAATTAAGTCACATCACCACCCATCCATGCTCACAATTAATCATTGCTTTACCGCAGTTTCCCCCAAAATGTTCATCAGCATTTTCTTCAAGAAGCGTCCGCAGCTAACGACACATTTCAATAAAGCTTTGATCAAAAATACGTCAACTGATGCAAGGCAAGAGGTGAACCTTAGAATGAGGTCACACGTTTTTCGGGAATCAGTTAAAGGATAATTTTAACGAGTATTTTAATTATCCCACACGCAATCTAGAAATTCAAGAAATTCAGAATGTTCTACCCCTCTGGAGTCAGTTTACATAAATGGTTTTCAATTCTTATTTTTTTGAAATGACGACCTAATAAAACTTTATTACCATGCAAAATGAAAGTCGATACAATGGGTGTCAACTGAAATAAAAAAGGTAAGCCTTTCTTTTGTGAAATAATATGCAAAGCTGAAAGACTCAACAATTCAAAGCTCTATTTAACCAGTCTGATTTGTGACTGTTTGTTTGCTGCTGTGTGCATTTGGTTGCCGCATTTCACCAACAAAATACACAGTCAATCCACTTGGCAGTATATTCTGGGAAGCGCTTTGAGATGTGTCGGCGATGTGATAATAATAATAACGATCGTTGCATTTGATATAGTGCTTTATCACGTCATCGCTATAAAAGTTGCTGTATCAAATGCGATGGTTATGATTGTTATTTTTTATGAAAGCAAGAGATTTTTTTAAAATCGTGACTCGACTAGATTTCAACAACCTGTTCACGTTAGCTCTTGAACAGACGTTCAGACAGTTACTTTGCAAACTGGGAGTGTTCTTCAAGCGCTCGGATTACTTCCCCATGGCTCTGATGCCCGCAAGCTCCATACGTACTCGTTCATGGTTCAGACGTGGTTGGTTCAACCAGCAGCCCCCGCATTAATAGTGCGAGGAGTTACTCGAACCTTTGCTGGCATTTTTCTACATAGAATATGTAGCTGTTTCCATACCAAGAGGCGTCAGTGCAAAATTGCACCTCCAGTTGGCCATTACAGGTCAATTACAAGTCATCGAAACCCGGTGCAAGCATTTCAACTGCCTCCCCACAAATTGCTGGCGAGGCGAGGAATCCGGGATAAATGAACGGCTTTACTTACTCTCATTCTCCCGTTTCTGACTGCAGGTCCATCCTCTGCCAGCCGCAGGACGTAGAGGTCCATCTTATATTCTCGGCCTCCACGAATGCTGAATCCAAACCCTTTCATGCCTTTCTCCAGATCAACCGTAAAATAATCGAAATCCTAGGATGGCCAGCACAAAGGGAGGAGAAAATTAGTTTTTTTTTCATAATTGTGGAGTCCTGTAACGCAGTGGTTGGAGCACTCGGCTGGGCAAGCGAGAGGACCTGTGTTCAATTCCCGGGCAGGGCAAAACCTTAGATAAGGTTTATTACTCCACATGCCTCTGTTTACCTCGCGGTGAGTAGGAACCCGGTTGTTGGACGATTTGGATCACTTTCCGGGATAATACTCCCTAAGAAAAAGAAATGGTCACTCAACCTAGGTTTGTTTATTGGACACTGTTATGGGCAATTGGCTGCTGTTTCACCCACAAAATACACAGGCCATCTACTTTACAATATATTTTGTGAAGAGCTTTGAGACGTCTCAATGACATGATAAGGCGCTATATCAAATGCAAGGATTATTATTATTATTCTTGTTCATCTTTTTTGGATCAGCTGTGTTGTCAGAAAATACAAAAACATGCTTAAGAGTATCCAGACCAGACAAAGCTCCACATATGGGCACTACTCATCTTCATTAGTAGCTGATCCTGCTAAACAGATGCACATCTATAAATCAAACGCATCAATTAAAATTGGCAATGGTATTACAGAACAGAATGTGTATCCATTGGCAAGGAATACTGCAGAACAGCTTTCACACATTCAGCATATCCTGTTATTTCATAATCCAAATGTCTGCACTTCTTCATGCTTTGCGTCACTGCGGTCATTTTCTTTATTATAAACATGAATTATTCCACTCCCTCAAAAAAAATTAAATAATAAATGAGGTTTTCATTTGTGGATTTCTTAGTACAGAATCTGAGCCATTGTAAATGTCCTTTTGGTAAGTGGAAGTAATATCTGTGACAACATATTCTGTGAAGCGCTTTGAGACGTCTCAATGATGTGATAAAGTGCTATATCAAATGCAAGGATTATTATTATTATCATTGAGTACATCAACCAACCTATGGGAACTCTGCGCTGACTCGAACTATTCTTGGCTGATTAATCTTGTTAGCTGATGGGAATTCTAACGGGATTCCATACAACTACAAAGTGGATCTCATTGTAGGTCAATTAAAAGTACCTGTAATTTAATACCTTCTCTTCCAGATCCTTTTCCACAAATAGGCACCACTAAGTGAAAATGGTATCTGTCACATTATATTCTGTGAAACGCTTTCTTTGAGACGTCTCGATGATGTGAAGAGGTGCCATATCAAATACCTGCATTTGATATAGCGCCTTATCATGTATTTGAGACGTCTCAAAGCGCTTCACAGAATATACTGTAAAGTGAATTGACTGTGTATCTTGTGGGCGAAACGCAGCAGCCTTTCGCACAGCAGTGTCCTACAAATAGTAGTGGATTGAGTGACCAAATGACTATTTTTTTTTACAAGGGATTATTGCCCCCGGAAAAGCGATCCATCAATCGACTACCAACCAGGTTCGTACTTACTGCTAGGAAAAACAGAGGCGTGTGGAGTAAGGAAACTTGCCTAAGGTTTCGACCTGGCCGACAAGCGAATCCACATCCTCTTGCTTGTGAGGCGAGTGCTTGAACCACTAAGCTACAGGACTCCACAAGGTTAATACATGAAATGATGACCACTTGGGTGAGGTACCACAGGATGACCAGCACAGTGGAACTGTGCCCCAGCAGGAGAAAAAGGAAAGTCAAAACCTGCCTGGACTGTGAGTTCATTGACCTGACATGGGGCTTGAACCCACAACCTTCTGATTCACAGGTGAGAGTGCTACCAATTGAGTCAGGCTCAGTTAATCCACTGAAGGTCCATCAGAGTCTGAACGACAAGGAGGTGAACATCTCGCATGTGACCCTTCATCAGATTTTAAGGCAGCTTCGTGTCAAATTTTAGCAAATTAACTGGCCCAGGGCACACGTGCGATGTTTTGGTAAACTTGCACACAGCATAGCAACTGCATCAGCAGCAATCATAGAGAGAAAATTTTTGGGAGTAACGCTTAATGAGGTAAGTAATTCCAGCTCCATAGAATGTCCTGGAGGGAAAGTATTTTCAATATAACACACAAGTCTGGTGCTGGGACTTTATCGCAACTTACGTTCTTTTCATAATGACTTTCAGACAGTGATCGGATAACCATCCTGCAACTGATCTTTTTTTTCTGTTTAATCCTTTATTTTAAAAAAAAGCCTGTCAAGCCACTACTGGGTTAATTTATTCCAAACAGAATTTCTAAAACTCTTGAAGTCAAACTTCAAGTACGCGGCACAATGTTTTTTGCTAAAACAAATGTAGATTTCTTTCCTCTTGTAACAAAACGCTGTCGGCACCTTACAACCTTGACTGCGTCCCACAAACATGCTGTGGATTAAACTCCTTTTTTTTTAACCCTCTGTCAGGGTTCCTACACCTACCTCTCTTTCACTGGGGTTCAGTTCAGCAGTTATCATAGGGTACCTCGCCCAAGAAGTCATTGTTCATGTTTAAGCCCTGATAGTGAGTGTTGGCAGCGTGTTCAATCGTGGCTTTCAATTCACAGATAAATCCCAATTCCATTCTCGTTCAATGTCACACGTTTATACCTTCCACTACTGGTCTCTGGATGGTGATCACAAGTGAGAACACTAGCTATTTTGTTCCTTATCTTATCTATAATGAGGCCAATTGTAGTGTCTCTACTGCTGCCCTGGTTGAGATTAGTTTAACTTCTGTCTGACCTTCGCATGGTTTTGCATCTCAAGCGCTCTGGGACCCTACCCTGTGTGAGCGATGCTATATAAATACAAGTTGTTGTTGTTGTTGACTTTACCGCTGAACCAGTACGCAGTGGGCCAATGGGGAATGAGAGTGTGGCAAGGGGACAGCAAATGAGAAAGTGTAAAGAAATATCAATTTAAAGCTTAGATTTGATGTCCCGAGGAGCAGACTATGCATCTCTTTTAGCTTTACTCCTGTTGGTTAACTACTTTTCCCCGCGACAAAATGGATCACTCAGATCGTGCTGACAATACACTCAATAAAATGTTTGATTGTCTGACAGAACCCTAAAATTTTACAGCACAGAAGAAGGCCAGTTGGCCCATTGAATCTGTGCTGGCTCTTTGATAATGAGGTCAACATAAAGGATCATTTGCTATTTTACGCATCAAATGTGCTGCATGTCGAACTCAAGATCCTCATCCTCACCTACAAGGCCATTCACGGCCTTGCTCCCTCCTACCTCTCCGACCTACTATCCCCCTACGTACCTGCCCGTACCCTCCGTTCCTCTGGCTCCGGTCTGCTCCACATCCCCCGCCCAACTGCCCTACCATCGGTGGCCGGGCCTTCAGCCTCTCAGCCCCGAGGCTCTGGAACTCCATCCCCCAATGCCTTTGCCTTGCTTCCTCCCTTTCCTCCTTCAAGGCCGGTCTCAAGACCTTTCTCTTTGACTGTACCTTCAGCTCCCCTCTCGACTCTCTACCCCCTCCTCGCTCCCTCCCTTCCCTCACCCTGACCATTTCCCCCCTGCTCGGGTCCTGACCCAGCTGTCCAGAGCCTTGGGACGTCCTCCCGACGTGAAAGGCGCTCTATAAATAGAATCTTGTTGTTGTTTTCCACGAAGGCCATGAAATATTGGGACATCTGAACGTCGATCTTCAATTGCTGGATCACTGTGATACCGGCTTGACGAGATTGTCGTTTACTCCAAACACAGGGCGTCTAAATTTGTAGCACGGGTGCACTTTGAGCCTGGGTGCAGTGGGATTACCCTATGCCTCTGGCCTCAAGGGCATAGCATGCAGGCTTAGGTTTTCTGGTAACCCAGTAACTGCTGGAAACGCTCACAAAAGTGTTTGCTGACTTGCCGAGTGTATGTCCAGCACGGTCCAGTGATGCCAGCAATGACCCACCAATCTGGACGTGCTGACCGGTGACCACACTACAGCACGACCCTTTGTAATGTGGGGTTTGATTCTATGGACCCAAACCACAGTGTTAGGAGGGGCTTTGACTGCTGGTGAATCATGTACGTGTTGCTTCTGACCTTCCAGAACTCCATATAGATGGCTAGTTTTGTTTTTTCTATAAGAATGTTATTTTTTATGAGCACATCTGGAACAAGAAATATAGATGAGGAACAAAGAGGGAGGGGCAAGGCAAAGAGGGAGAAGAATAAGATAGAGAAGAATAAGATGGAAAGAGAAAAACAGCCGTTAGCTGTTAGTCAGGGCGAAACATTGGGCATGTTTTGCCCACAAAAGTATAGTCAATTCACTTTACTGTGAAGCGGTTTGAGATGTTAAATGCAAGGATTGTTATCATTACTTCCCAATAGTCGAAACTGAGATTGACTTGCGAGTAGAATTCCAGGGGTTGGAAATCGTTAATTGCAAATCATTTTGCGAGTATTGCAAATGGTAAGGCCTCCACAACTCGAGTCAGAATTTGTTTCCCAGGCATTACGAGGATATAGGATACACTGACCTGACCAAAGAAAAGACAGCCCAGTCTGACCGAACTCTGAATAGTGCTGAAGTCTGTTTGTGCATAGACCTTCAATTAGGTTTCTTAGCAAAATTGATGACGTTTGCTTGAACGAATCTCACTCAGGGCTCACAGGGTATCCTCCTCACCACAAGATAATCATAAACAATGTGGAACAAAATAATAATAATAATCCTTGCATTTGATATAGTGCCTTATCACGTTGTTGAGACGTCTCAAAGCGCTTCACAGAACATATTGTAACGTGGATTGACTGTATAATTTCTGGCCTAAAATTATATCTCCGCCTCCAGTAGCCAGATTCGAATGCTTGCAACAACCTTCATCATAACTCAAAGACCAACTTCACACAAGCAGCATTGCTGGGTGCTTCAACTGCTACGTTGGCAATTGGTGAATTATTGTTAATGTACAGTGGGTATAATTACAGGTCCCTTGTACCTCGTAAATATAACTTAAAGCACTCCAGCACCTATTTCCTACTTGACTCTGAAATATGGTTGAAAAGCCCTCGACATTTAATGCTTCCACCGGTTAATCAGGCGAGTACGACAGTGTAACAAGAGTACTCTGACTCCCAACCCCTAAATCAAATGTGACAAACCAAGTGCTTAATGTGTGGTAGTGGCTAAGTGCACACCCGATCATCGTGAAAAGAAAAATAATCTCCCAAATATTAAAATAACAGATTTAAGGTTTATAATTCAAACGCGAATCTTGTATCACGTTTTGGGCGTTTTGTTTGGTTTCGAATTAATTGCGTCCAATTTTTCCACTCAAGTCAGCGTTGACGGAAATAGTGTGAAATGGAATGGCAAGAATCATTGTGAATGTGGTTTTAAAGGGCCGGTTCCTTGGGAGCAGGGGGCACATCTGGAGCAGAGGTGAGGAGTCAGAGGACAGATTTAGAAAAAGCTTCTCGTGATGAGAAAGAAAACGAAAAAGGCTTAAAAAACAGGGAATTTGGGATGTTTGGCTTCTAAATAAGGAACAAATTTACGACTTCTATCAACTTGATGTCCTGTAGTGTATTGGTTAGAGCACTCTCCTCACAAGCGAGAGAACCCGGGTTTGATTTCCGGGTGGGGCGAAACCTTAAGGCAAGTTGTCTTATTCCACACACCTCTGTTTATTTAGCAGTTAATAACCCAGTCGTTTGTCGATTGGTGGATTGCTTTCTGGGGGTACTAATCCCCTCAAACAATAAAAATAATAATAAGTTGGTCTCTCAATCCAAGACTGTCTGTGGGACACTGCTGTGCTCAATTGGCTGCCGAATTTTGCCCACAAAATATACAGTCAATTCACTTTACAGTATAATCTGTGAAGCGCTTTGAGATGTCTCAACGATGTGATAAGGCGCTGTATCAAATGCAGGGATTATTATTATAAATTTCACACAACTTTAAATGTTAAGACAACGGTCTTAAGACTAAGACTAAATAAGTTTTTCTGATTAGGGCGTAGTATGTGAGGGCTGGAGGTTTGATGATACAGGGACAATGTTGACTCATTCCAGAATGAAAACACCAGCACAGAGCTAACCAACATGATGAGGTGACGCTGCGGACTTGACTGACAAATACGTCAAAAAAAAGCTACTCCAAATCAGTAACTTTCATGCACAATAAGAATCAATAGCAGAAGCTACAATACATCATTTGATGTGACAATAGCAGTTAGCGTTTTATTGCTGAATTGTCACAGGCCTTTCAATTCTGCCTTTTGTACTCTAATAACAACACACAACAACAACTTGCATTTATGTAGCGCGCTTCACACCAGATGGCATCTTGGGAGCGCTTAATAACTCATATTTGTGCAACCATTAGAAGATAATACCTCAACACTGTAGTATCAAACCCATCCCCCAAGATAACTCAGATATTACATTGTTTAACAATGTTCAGAAATACACGGAAGCTTTACAATGTCTCTCATAAGACGTTGTTAAACACAACTTATTTTCTTCAATTGTAGGTTAAGGGAAGATGAAGGGTTTTAAAAATAAATTAGTTGAAGTGCATTTTACTGCACATTTCATTCAATCATGCCTCCAATACAGACTTGCTCCTGAATTACTGGATAAAAGGATCTAATTTTGCTCAAATTACTTTCACCTTCAAAATACACAACTGAGTGCACTTTACAGTAATTACCATGAAGCGCTTCAAAACATCCTCCTGATGTGAAAAGCGCTATATCAAATGCAAGGATTATTATTATTTCTTGTGACTAGCCAGATGAAACAACCTAATTTTGCTTCCATTGTTTTATATTCATCTCAGTCATTGGATATCTGTTTGGTTGCATTATTTTGTGCAATGCCTTTCCATTCTTTTGTTGGGAATACTTTAGGAGCTAACTCTGTACTTGCACTTGACTAACTGCATTTTATGAGCTAACTCTGTCTTAATTTACCATATCAAACCTGTAGGAATCCAAACCAATCTAAAGAGTGGCAATTTACGTGACATTACAATGCTGAAAGGAATTTAATTTCCGTTATGAACAATGAACGTATTATCACTTGCGTGAAATATTCTGACTCACACAATGATGCTGCACATCAGTGTGTTCATTCAAATACCATTACGTAATTACACTACCCACGCATATGCATTAAATTATAGCTCTCACCTAATGCTGTTAATGAAGAATCATTTTGCTGAAAAAAATACTAGATAAATGCGACACAGTGCCATTTATGACGATTTTATTGCATTTAAGAGGAGGATAATAGGTAAGAGTTTCTAAAGACGTAAAGTTCATAATCTAATTTAGTGGAGGAATAACCAACAAGAACTAACTTAGAACCATGTCATAATGAGCCACATTATATCACGGGTTCTCCTAGAACATGACTGGCATCTTCTTACTTAAAAATCCCAAATCCTGATAGGGCGGCAACCAAATTGCACTTCAAATCCCAATGTCACTGTTTAAAATGTCAGCGCAACTGGATTTAATCCGTTTTGAAGGGCGACAGATAAAGATGCATTCTGATGGCACCGACTGTGTGATTGGTGACATGACGGGATTGCTACTATCTACCAACAGCTCATGTCTGAGCCTCACGACAAGGCGGGATGGAATTCCATCCACCCTCAACCACCACTTTATAACAAGGTCTTTAACTGTGTTGCTTTTCTCAATAATTCACAGCCCCATGTGAAAGGCGCTATATAAATGTAAATTTTGTAATGTAATTTGTATCGTATCTTCAATGCTTTTCAGTTGAGATCACCTTTCTGTTGCAGCTTTTGCTGTGTGTCATCTCTCACCAAGCCACACAGACACACACACACACACTCCTCTGACAGAAGGGAGTGAGCACACAGCCTGCCAGCGAGTCCTGACAGTGCTGTTCTGAAACCTCCTGGAGTGTGAGAGTGCATGAGAGTGATGGGAGACAAGCCAGCACAATGCTATCGCGCATTCTAATTTGTGAGATCGGCTGAAAGAAATTTTGTGAAAGGATTTGTGAATCTTGCAGCTACCTGATGACTTTCAGCCCAAACCTCTAGAGCTCCAATGGAGGTCATTCTCTTGGGCGTGATCCAGATTAACGGAAGTTGAACCTGCGATCTGGGTCCAAGCAGAGTGGCTGAGATGCCACTCGATACCTTCCGGATTTTATATTTACAAATCTAGCAAATTGGACTCCAATACTGTAGTTCCTGTGAAGTTTGGCACATTTATCATATCAAATGCCAGCTAGTTGGGTGGGCACTTTGCCATTGGGATCAATTGAGCTTGAGTCAGGAAACATCACAAACATTCTTTTTCTGCTATGTATATATATCCTTGCATTTGATATAGCACCTTATCACATTGTTGAGACAGAATATACTATAAAGCAAATTGACTGTGTATTTTGTGGGCGAAACGCGGCAGCCATTTGCACATAGCAGTGTCCCACAAACAGTCATGGATTGAGTGACCAAGTTATTATTATTATTTTTTGAAGGGTTTATTACCCCCAGAAAGCGATCGGCCAATCGACTAACAACCGGGTTCCTACTTACTGCTAGGTAAACAGAGACGTGTGGAGTAAGGAAACTTGCCTAACATTTCGTATAATATATATACGAAGTTCATAAATGTTATATCAATAAAAGAATTACATAACACAACACTAACCTGATGGTTAGAGTATGCTCTTGGAGTGAACCTTAAGGTGCACTGTTAATTGTTAACTTTGTATCTTAAGAGGCATTGTTTTTGCAAACTTTTCGAAGAAACAGTACCAATTTCCACAAATATGTCAACTACAATAGCATCCAATTGCATCTCACACATTCTGTTGTATTGTGGTGTCCACATGCTCAACGTCTAAACACAGTTAAAGTGGCCACTACGATAAAAGGCAAAATACTGTGTATGCTGGAAATCTGAAATAAAAACAGAAGTTGCTTGGGAACACTCAGCAGGTCAGGCAGCATCTATGGAGAGAGGAGAGTGAGTTAACGTTTCAGGTCGATGACCTATCGTCAGAACTCACTGTTGACTGTTCCCCGCGACTTCTGTTTTTATTTTGGCCACTAATGTAAAGTGACCTTGAAACATACTAGGTTAAGCCATTAAAGTCTTGTACCTGTGGTTGCCTGTAATCAGGCACGGCATATGTTCGGTTGTCAGGAGGCGGTTGCCTGTAATCTATTAGAGGCGGGTGCCTGTAGTCCAGTGTCGGTGGTTGTCGATAATCTACCACTGGAGGCTGTCTGTAGTCTGAAAATGGTGGTTGTCTAATATCCGGTTTAACATCCTGCCTTGCTTTCACCTCTGACCTGTAACTGGAGAAAAATACTGCAACATCAATACAATCTGTCTCGAGAGCCTTCAAATCGGGTAACAGTTCAGATAACATGAATTATTAAAGTCAAAAATAAGAATAAGACAAAAATTACTTTTCCAATTACGGCACTGATTGTCATAAATGTTTAATGCTTGAATAGAGGAGCGGAGGCAAAAGGCTGCTGATGGAAATACAAAGCACAGATTAGCGCTCAAGTCAACTGTAAGCTCCCTATTTCACTTCGAGCCATTTAAACATTCATCTGCAGAAAACTACTGAGCTGTGGCATTCATTCCCAGGTATTGACAGTCTTACTACAGACTGACTGCTTATACTACTAATAATAATTCTTGCATTTGATATAGCACTTTATCACGTTTTCGAAACATCTCAAAGCGCTTCACAGAAAATACTGTTTAGTGAATTGACTGTGTGTTTAGTGGGCGAAAGGTTGTTATTTATTAACAAAATACACAATCACTACACTTCACAGTAAATACTGCGAAGCACTTTCAGGCGGCCTCCCAACACGAGAAGCACTATATCAAATGCAAGGTTTATAACAAAAATCTAATACAGTACAACAATAAGTTGCATCTTAATACCACCTTTCATGTACAAGAATGTCTCAAGGTGCTTGATAAATGTGGTATGCACAATGAGCAGGGAAATGAGAGAATTAAATATGTTGAACAAAGAAAGGTACAGTTGAAGAGATATGTTTTTATGGGGGGTTTTGAAGGCAGGGAGAAAAGTAACAAGGGCAAAATAATTAATAATAATGTAATAATAATCCTTGAATTTGATATAGCGCCTTATCACGTCATTGAGACATCTCAAAGCGCTTCACAGGATATACTGTAAAGTATTTTAATGGGCCGGTTCCAGAGGAATGGTAGCTGAAGGCTTGGGTTTTGGGAGCAAATGGAAGGAGATAAGAAATTACAGATAATCCCTTCCAAACATGCAAGCACATTTGTAAAGGGAAACTACATTCTCTAACATTTGTTATCCCATTGGCGGGTGGGCTTTCAGCCACTCTGNCCCCACCCTCTGGAACTCCATCCCGCAGTCCCTCCACCTCGCCCCCTTTCTTGCCTCCTTCAAGACCCATCTCAAGACCCTCCTCTTCGACCGTGCCATTGTTCACCTTCCTTCCCCCCACTGCCCCCAACCCTCCCCGATCCCGACCCCCAGCTCAGGTCCGAAACACTGATTGTCCAGCGCCTTGGGACGTCCTCCAGACGTGAAAGGCGCTGTACAAAGGTAATTTTGTTTTACTCAACTCATTTTGAGTAAAATGAATAGAAAAATCATATCTAGATCTTGTTGGAGCCACTACAGGTTGTGTCAGTAGAGCAAGACACCAAGACTACAGTCAGTTATTGATCTCAGCCATTCAGGGAGGGCGGGAAGAGGAAGAACAACAACTTGCATTTATATAGCGTCTTGGGGCTCTTGAATCAAGCCAGACAGTCAGCGAGTGACCTTGCACGCTTTTGCATGACCAGTGCAACATTTCCAATCTATAATCCAGAATGTGTGCTGCACCACAGATTCAGCAGCGGAAATTCTTGCCCACAATAAACACACCCCGTGTTTTGCTGTGCTCTGCCGTGCACTTTCCACCAGATGGCGCTCACCGTCACCGAAAACCAGAGTGCGGGTGGGGGGGGTGGGGGGGTAGAGTTTGCAAACAAAACAAGTGTCATTTCGGGTAAATAGTTTGGAAAAGTTGACAACATTTGTTTTAAAGGTCTTTGGTTCGAGTCTTGAAGCGCTCTGGGACGCTACCCGGCCTGAAGGCCACCCTATAAATGCAAGTTGTTGTTGTTTTGGACAGGTTGAAAATCATATTTTTTTTGGGGGGGGCACAAACCAATAAAAAGGGATGTCAATGGAAACAAAGTGCATTCGAGTGTGTCTTGAGATTGCCCAGAGTGGAGGACAAATCTCAAAGTCGGGTCTGAATTTGCAAGCTGGTTCTTTTTAAGAATCATGCATTCAAATTAATCGATCGATCCTTAAACGGTAAGACACAACAGGCTCACATGCTAAGAGCAGGTGGAATTTCGGGCCTTGTGCTCCATGACCACACGTGATGGGAACACCGCATTTCATAACAAAAAAGTACAAAACATTCTCACGCTGTTCACATTCACATTTCAAACTGACAGCGTGAGAATCAGTTCAGATATACAACAAGTTGCACTAATACAGCACCCTTCACGCTGGATGGGGTCTCGGAGCGCTTAACATCACCGAGAAATGCATGGGGCAGAGCGCTGAAGCTTATGACAGACACACCACCCATCAGAACCAGGCTGACCCTTCCTTACCTGCCATTGTGTCCTTGTAACTGAAGAGGAGCTGCTTGTGTTGCAGGACTGTGTTGAGCGACAGGGCTCTGATGCGCTGGAGGACTCTGTTGTGCCATCGGACTATGCTGCTGTGCCATGGGACTCTGTTTCTCTGAGCCTGGTGCGGAAGCTGGGCTACTCAACTCTGCGACATGCACGGGAAGAAATAAAACGGGAGTTAGGTCAATGATCAAGGGTAGACGGGGTTGTTTTCCCCGCTCCCTCGCTGGATTCTTATCTGAAAACTGCGCTTTCAAAAAGAAAAAAAAGTTCTCCTCCTCGATTAGAAAGAGACCCTGCGGAGCAATGACTTACTTACCCTCTTGAGGGATGATGCGCAATGAAACACTGAGGCCGGCGTCTTTGATCAACTTGACAATGTCTGCATGAGGCATGTTAATGATGGACTGCCCGTTCACCGCTAGGATGCGGTCGCCTACTTTGAGCCGTCCGCAGCGATCCGCTGGGCTGCCGTCGATTATCCGGCCGATTTTGTGAGGCACGGCTGTTGTTCCACGTTCCCATTGAACGAGCAGGAGTTGGCGGAGGCGTTGACGGAGATCGGAGGGCAGGCAAACACAAGGGAGAAGACACAAAGTGTCAGTGTGCTGCAAATTCCTTATTCTGGAACTGTCTGATATCTACACAACAAATACTGGATATATTTTTATTATTTGTTGTCGCTCCCTGTGCGCTGTTCAACAGTAATTGGCTCATGAAATGGCGGCAATTCACATTTGATACGTGCCTGAGCGTCTGAACCTGCCTTTGTGTGGCCTCGCAGTTCTTCAACGACCCAGACCTCAACACTATCGTGCACTAAAAATGCTACCTTCACCAAATGCAACAAGGAAACAGACGCATTGGGTTTGAAACGCTATCAGTTTGCAACGGGAGTCAAAGACAGCTACTCAAGACTTGGTCCTGGGGAATTCTGCCGGCTGTACACCCGAGCCCACTTGGAGAGATCCCTTCTCCAAAGCAACTGAGGTTAGATCAAGAGAATCAGGAAGAAGAGAGATTAGAGCGAAAACAGGACAAACACCTTTTTGGTAACGTAGGATTAGAATTACAGCAATAAAGCCTCCAGGTATTGATTAGCTTTCATTTGACATGAAACGGCTATATCAAATGCAAGGATTATTATTATTATTGTTATTATTCTGCACCATTGATGTGCACGAACTGGGAATGCACAATCACAGAGTCTCTGGCAACCAAAGGGTGAACAAATGCTGATTGCGTCGCTGGGTGAGCTGGTGTGGAAGAGCTGGTGAACATGACTCCGCCCAAGAGAGCTGAATTAAACACAGGGTTGAAATGACAAGATTGCTGGAGTGTCCTAGGTTTATAACCGGACCTGCTGATGTTAATTCAGCTCTTACACACTGTCAGATTCAGAGACTCCCCCCACCCCAAGCCAGGACCCCTGACAATGTCACCGGAGCTGGTTATTCAGACAAAAGGAAACAGTGGCAGCCAAATCTCACCTTTTATTTGTAAAAGATTTGATTGCTGATGAAATCAGCTTGCAGCCAGAGAATGTGAGGGAACCGAACAGCATTGGACACCTAGTCATTAAGCTTGTGTGCACTTCAACACTGTACTCCATGGACTATTTTGCAGTCACAGATTCTAAATCTAAATTAAAATAATAATCCCTTCAAAAATAATTTGGTCACTCAACCCATCCATGACTGTTTGTGGGACGCTGCCGTGTGCAATCGCCTGCCGCGTTTCGCCCACAAAATATACGGTCAATTCACTTTACAGTAAGTTCTGTGAAGCGCTTTGAGAAGTCTCAAAGACGCGATAAGACGATATATCAAATGCAAGGATTGCTGCCCGGGCCAGCTGTGGGATCTGACTTAACTGAATAATTTAACTCTCACTTGTGTTACAGTCAGTATCTCTGATGGAAATCTTCTGGGTTGACCAAAGGAAATTCAGTTTACAAAACCTATAGAGCTGCTTTCAGTAGGCAAATGATGTGTGTAGCAGTCTTAGCAACCCAGGAAAACCAGCTGGAGTTGCTTTGTGGTCTCATATTATTTTCATTGCTGTACTGGACACACCAGAAGGTAGAATCCTGGATTGTGATCAATTAAACTGATCTCATTCTGGGCAACGGTTGGAGTGCGACAATTAATAATGAGCACCTCCTGAGCCACAGATGGAAAAATCACCTGGAGTTCCCACTTTAGATTGTTATCTCAAGCTCCTGGACTCTGTGTGTATGTGTCTGTACATTTATATGCATGATTATAGCCTTAACCTTTATCATAGCCTTAAGACCCTGCCTTTAAAGTTTAAGAGCCTGAAGAGTTATTCAAAATTCTTAAATGTGGTCTCAATTTAGAAACCACAACAAAAACTTGCATTCTTATAGCACCCCTCACAGGGGATAGAGTTTCGGAGCACCTAAAGAAAGAAAGATCTCTTTTGAAATTGAGATTAGATTTAAGAATAGGGATGGTCCTTGATTGTGATCAAATAATCAACCAATACTGAGTCCAGCCTCACACAAGAAGAATAGTCATTAATAACAATAATTTGGTTACTCAATTCACGACTGTTTGTGAAACACTGCTGTGCACAATTGGCCGCCGCGTTTTGCCCACCAAATACACAGTCAATTCCCCAATAGGGATCAATGTCTTCAGGAATCCATGATCTAACATGGACTAATGGTTGACTTGGGTATTTTGCCAGATAGATGAACTTTGCCTCAGACACCCCGAAAACAGTTGGATGCCACAGAATTGACTGATCAGAGCAATATTTATGGGGATGTATGAGCCAGACAGCTTAAGAACTTATTCTTGTAAACCAACTGTTTGAGAATTTGAAACTGATAAAGTGGCACATGAGGTTATTATGGGTTAATTATCATTATTTTGCATTATGGACAGCAGCTAAGCCACAAAACTGGAAAGACTGTGGAGAAAGATCAACTTGAATGGACACAGTAAATGGGAGCCCACATTTAAAGCGCTTTGAGACGTCCTACCGACGTGATGTTGTATGTGTTATATAAATGTAAATTGTGCTGTATTGCAGAGCCACAACTGTCATCAATGAGATAAGAACACAATGTCTCCCAGAGATAGGACCAAACAGCAATCTGAGAATATTTCCCAATTCAATTTCACTGAGTTCATTTCAAATATTTGAATCGTATTTTGCTTTGAGGCTAAATGCTGTGGCGTTTCATCCACAAAATATACAGTCAACGCACGTTAAAGTATATCCTATAAAGCGCTTTGAGACCTCTCATTGACGTGATAAGATGCTATATCAAATGCAAGGATTATTATTATTATTTATGCGGTCTCCCAGTTAATAAATACTGCGAAAAGTACCGAGGATTACCTCACTGCCTGAAGGGGAAGAAAGGATGTTATATAGAGTATTCAGTTACTGAATAAGTAGTTAAAATATCTGGAATACAAATCAAATCTTTCACTGGAAACTCACTAGCTTGTTGTGATATTAAAAGTGGAAAATCTGAATTAAAAAGTTTCAAAAGGCTACTCATAAAAAAAAATATATATAGTTTTAATGGTAGTTCATTGAAAGGATTTTTCACTGTATGCTCCTGGCTATTTTCAGCCTCTGTGTGTCTGGTTGAGGCTTAAGGTCTAATGCTAGCTGACAGGAAAATTTGTTACTGAACTTCTCCAATGATCCAGCCTTCGCATCATTTGTAAAATGTCCCTTGTGAGCTTTGTGACTCGGTCTAATGGCATTAAAGCCCTCGCCATTTAATGAGCTGAAAACCACAGCTTCCACAGAGAGACATCAAATGCACTGTTCCTACTGCAAGCAAGCAGTGCATTGCAAACTGCTTCGGTTCCCATTATATTCGGTACCCTGGTAATTTGAGGTGAGGCTTCAATCGTTCTAGACGATAAACAATGCAAGATCCTCAAGCATTAGGAATCGTCAAAGCTTAATCATTTGTTGTTTTCAATAATTAATATTAATAATCCAAAAACGTAACCAGGCTGATTCGGTTTTACAGAGATCATATAAAATGTTGTCGACCTCATGGGGGAACTTTAATTATAACAATAATCCTTGCATTTGATATAGTGCCTTATCACGACTTTGAGAAATCTCAAATCGCTTCACAGGATATATTGCAATGTGGATTGACTGTGTATTTTGTGGGCGAACACAGTTTGCGAAGGTCATTTAATGGTATGCACCCTTTCCCCAACAATTCTGTAAATAAGCTTCATTCCTGCCACTGTGCTGTGCTTCACTTCAGATTGGTTTTGCTAACAGGAAAGAATATTTCTCACTGACATTTCTAGCCACTAGTAGAAACATGCTCATGTGAAAAGAAAAAAAGGTTCAATGTGTACCTAGGGTGACATTCTGATGTTACTTAAGGGACATTTGTGATGTCTTAAGACTTAACACTATGTCTTGGTCACTATCACTTACATTGGCCATCAGAGATTGAAAAGTGTTAAGATTTCACACTAACTGCTCAGATTTCTACGGTATATTTTAATTTAATCTATCCTCAATTCTGGCAAACACAGCTTTGTGGAGTTTGTTGAAGTGGGTTGTAGATTCACGATAGAATGCGTTCTGATCTTTCTGCAGCTGCACATGTCACGCATGGCTTCATAAAGGCATTAGTGCCATTCGTACACCTTCTTAAAAAGGAGACTCATTTACAAGGTAACATTGGCTGTGTGACTACATGGCAAGATCATTTTACATTCACACAATGGTGTAAAACTGATTATTTGAGCAGTGTGCACACACTCACACATATAATAATATAATAATCCTTGCATTTGATATAGCGCCTTATCACATCTTTGAAACGTCTCAATGCTCTTCACAGAATATACTGTAAACTGAATTGATTATATTTTGTAGCCGAATCACGGTAGACAATACCGCACAGAAAACAGTCGTGGATTGAGTGACCAAATTATTATTATTATTATTGTCATAGAGAGAGAGAGAGAGAGAGAGAGAGACACACACACATGTGGGAAATGGTGTCTGTTTGTAACTTTTGATGAAGTCAGATTGACTTTAAATCTAAAATTTGAAAAACTAATGAAAATGTTCTACTGTCGATTCCCCTCCAAAAAGACAGAAACAGAGAGTGGCACAGTCCAATTAAGTTGATTAATAACCAGATGTTTATGATTCCCATTATTATTTTGTTTGTCTTCTCATTTTAGTCTTGCTCGCTTTGGGGCACCTCACTAGGTGGAGAATCGTGTACAACCATAGCAAAAAAGAACAGAACAGGAATCATGTGGTGAATCCTGTTTGCAGAGGTTAAAAATAATACAATATTCCATAATTCCACTGAATTTAGTTCCAAAAGCAGCAAACGTCGATATTAACAAGTGCAAGAACTTAGGAGCAGTGGAAAACACATTTTCCATTCCAGTGAGCACCTACAAGGCTGGGATAAAAGGGAAATAAACTAAGTTATGCACCTAGTTTCACATTGCAGTACAATGCACA